TACAAGGTAAGTACTGGTTAAATACCCATTAACTCCTGATTTGTTCCGTAGGCGCTCCCTAGTAGTTAATCAAATTTTGTGTACCTTATTGTAAAGTGTTACCAGCAAAACTTGTCAGCGTGAAACCATTATCAGTAAATGCTCATTAGTAGATGATAGGAAAAAAAATAATCGTTTTGAAACCTGTATGATAAAACTGAATGATATATTCTTGAATGCACTCGTTTAATTTTAATAATTTGAACAATGCAGTCTGAACCATCTTCTCAGCGGTCATGTGAAACCAGATGGACGACCAGTTGTAATAATCTGGTGCCTGTTGGTCCGAGGGTTCAGCGCCTGCGTACAGGGTGAAACTGTCAACGAGGCAACAGAACCAAGTCATGTCGGATTATTTACAACATGTTCTAGTGTCAGGGACGGTCATACGCTGGCGTCTGAGCAAGGTTGTTACCGATCCACTGAACAAGACTCTGCTCAGATGTTCATTAGAAAATGAACAGCAGCAGATGCTAATTAAGAAAAGACAGAGATGCTTTCAGGTGCACTTGATTTATGGGAGGAACTGGCTGTCTGAAAGATGTTCATTATGTCAAGGCAGCAACTGAAATGTGATGGGTGTGCTGCCGTCTGAAACATTTCAATCCCTGTTCAGACCTGGAAGTGGACAGCTGTCAGTAAAATCCATCTGATTTGATCCATCACCCAGGAAGGGTTAGTGCCAGGTCTGAATGAGGCCAAACACCCTGACTCGGGTACAACATGATAAAACCCAGAAGTTTCAACTATCTAACACTGAGAGCCATGAACGGGACAATAACAGAACAGTGAAGCTCGTACCAACACTGCTCTATTGTTGGCACTTTAAGCATATTAGATATGGAGGAAATGCTCATTCTCATTCCTAATATTTGGATAAAACACAGTATGTGGGCGTGGCTAATGGACTAATCCGTGTCTCGAACTCTCTGACTCATATTTTTACTGAGCTCAACCGCAAGCTGGATGCGATTTCTGAGAATCGTACGTCACTTGCGGCTCCTGGAACTAGCCAGCATCAAGGACTCAATCTTGGAGAAAGCTAAAGAGAGCACGGACCGGACGGAATGTCCACTAATCTGGCTGCTTGGATTCACCATTGAATGCACCAGCAGAACTTGAAGTCGGACAGAAAACGGAGTTTGGCAGCCCAAACAATTGTTGTTGATCTGAATTTGGCCTCCCCGCTGGTCTTCTCAAACTGCTCCTGGAGGATACACAACTAGAAGCTATGCCAAGTGTGTCTCTTATCCTTGAGATGTAGGTGGACAGCTGAGTCTTGATCCTAAAAGGTGGCTCTCGTGTTTTGTTCGATTCATCTGTGGAGAGGTTGCCGAGTCCAGCTCGCTTAAATCAAACAACTCACTGCAATGTACAAAGATTATTCAGACAAGAAGCAAATCATCTTCTATAGAACAAAATAAAAATCGGTTCATACGCAGTTTCCGTCTGTCCGAGAACTTATTTTCATCTCGGACAACCAGATCTCGCCTCGAGGTTGTCCGGTGGACAACCAAGTGAAACAGACATGGATTCAAGTTCTCCATCGCCGCAACGGATTTCCTTCAATTAGAAAGTCTATAAAAATGAAAGGGGTGGAAAAAGGTGTCTTTGTTGTGTTTTTGTTGTTGTTTTGTTTTACAGATTAAACTGATGCTGCTTTCTACAAATAAAAAGAACCAGAGCCACAGTTTGACCCAATCAGAGCAAAGCAGGGCGGGTCGAGCGGGTAGTCGTTCCAGTGACAAACTTCATGACTGTCTTTATAACTATACATCTTGGTTTTGCCATAATATATAAATATATATATATATGATAGATATGTTTTTATTATTAATATTATTATTGTGTACACCCTGGTTGGTGAGTGACGTGTAAAACACATCTGTGCTGCTCGATAAGAACGGGAAGTGTGCACACAGCACTATTATAGTGAGATGGTTGAATCAAACTTGGTACTTCTCCAAACTTGTTAAACTGCCCTTGTCATATCAGTTCAGGAAATCCTTTCTTCAGTACACAATGCACAGCTGGGGCAGGCCATAAATCAAGGGTGATATTCCTTACGGAGAAGAAACGCTGCATCTTTAACAAGAAGGTGAGCGCAGGGTGCGATTGTGCAGAATGTGTTGAGGCTTACCGGGGAATCAGTGACTGAGGACTTTTTCTGTCCTTCAAAGTCACGATGGAGAGAAAACAAATCGTCCGTTTTGTTCTCCATCAGTCCTGTTATATAAGAAACAGGTGGTCCATGAGGACCATCAGTGCACGTGGAGAAGGAACGGGCTTACAGGAGATATCGCTGATTCAGGCTAAATGTGGGGATGAAGAAATCAGAGTAAAAAAAATATCCACACGTCATAACTGTAATAATAATTAATGCACTGAGAGAGATTCCTCTGCTTTACACAAATCACATCAGGATTTTGTAAGATGGTGAGATAAAACTGAAGCCCAACAGCCCACTACATAAAAAAACATATATTTTTGGAAAGTCTTCTGAAACAACAAACCAGTATGCCACTGTTCTTTCTTCAAACATGAACACGAGAAAACTTTTTTGTCCAGAACACAATCACCCAGACTCAATCTGGGAAACGGCATTCGACTAGAGGTTTCCACACTGAGGAGCTACACGCACAACTCCCCTGCTGTGCAGCCCGAGGGGCGGTGAAGATGTACAGAAATGCAAGCCGATAGTGTTGGTTGGGAGAACATTAATCTCAATTTGACAGCAGAGCCATTAAGAAACTGCACCGGAGCAGCAAGACTGAGTATCTATGTCTGTGCTCACTTGAGAGCAAGAGAGCAAGAGAGAGCGATATCAAGTGTAATTGTGTGCAATAAATGTTTTGTCATTGTGTGGAATGTGCATTCGATGGGTCATGGCTGCACACACGTCTGTGTGATTGTGCATGAGCTGACAATATTTGATGAAGTTTGTTTTAGTCGACTGCCCAAGATCCAAGTCATCGTTCGTCGGGTGAGTCAAGTGCAACAAAAGCATCTGAAGCTGTGATGCCTCAGCTGCAAACAGAGCAGCCGTTTGTTTCCAGCAAAGTTGGTGTTTATAAGTTAGTGCTTCGTACGTTCGGTTTGTGGCGTGATCCACTAATTCCAGGGGAAACACTCATTTTCTTTACCTGCTTAGTCTCCTCTAGGGTCAAAAAGGGCTGGTATCATTTGTAGTAAGCAATGAAAGGTGGGGTACACCTGGTCAGGTCACTAGACAATCCAAGGACCCACACAGACACATCCACTCGTTCCATAAGGGTTCAGGGTCCTGTGTGCGACAAGGGAAGCCTGGTGGCAGCGCATCCATGACATAGGGTCCACGTGCACAAGTTGGTTGTTGAGAAATTAAAGCAGGACTTGCGACATCAGCCTCATGCCTGAGCTTTGATTATGATTGTGACGAGGATCTAGCATAAATGAGACGCCTGTGGTGGAAGCTAGCGTGATGTTCTAGTGTTCAGTTGCATGCCGACGCAGTCCGAGAGTCATGCCAGGCTGAACGTATAGAATCAGTCATTATTAGCTTGGATGGCTTTAAAACAGGCCACAACAAAAGACACATTTCTTTCCCATTTCATTTTTGTAGACTTTCAAAATGACGGAAATCCGTTGTGGGCAGCACGGTGGCGCAACTGGTAGAGCTGCTGCCTCTCAGCGAGCAGGTTCCTGGTTCAAACCCCGGTCCAGGGGCCTTTCTGGGTGGAGTTTGCATGTTCTCTCCGTGCATGCGTGGGTTTTCTCCGGGTACTCCGGTTTCCTCCCACAGACCAAAAACATGCATGTTAGGCTGATTGGTAACTCTAAATTGTCCCTAGGTGTGAGTGAGAGAGTGAATGGTTGTTTGTCTCGTTTGTCTCTATGTGGCCCTGTGATGGACTTGCGACCTGTCCAGGGTGTACCCCGCCCCTCGCACAGTGATTGCTGGACATGGGCACCAGCGACCCCCGTGACCCAAAATGGAATAAACGGGTAAAGAAAATGGATGGATGGATGGATGGAAATCCGTTGTGGCGATGGAGAACTTTCATCCATGTGCATTTCATTTGGTTGTCCACCGGACAAGCTTGTGATGAAATCTGGTTATCAGAGATGAAAACGGGTCGTCACGGACCAACGGAAACCACTTGCGTTGATCCCCGTCTGTGTATCAACTTTTGTTATATTATCTTAACTGGATCAGAGGTGATGGGCAAAGAGTGAAAGGTTTACGGATGGATGGGGTCTATTCCATAACATGTCCGGACATACATGCCGGTACTTAATCTGCTGAGGTTTCAAACATGACCAGAGAGGAAAACAAAGAAAATTAAGTCTAAAGCTTTTTTGTTTTTTGAACGTTCAACTTAACTTTTTTAGATACTTCTAAAGCCAATTCTTACCTTCAAAACAATATTTGCATTGGAAAAACCAATGCATCTACATCGCTTTACAACCTAGCAGTTTTTTTATTGTTGTTATATTTTCTTTTAAATACCATATTATCTTCACTTGTTAATCTCAACTTGTACGCATCCTTCATGATTGTCCATTGCTGTCATCACTCTTTGTTTAAACCAGGTCTCTCTTGTAAATGAGTCCCTGAGGCTCAGTGGGACTAACCTGTAGAAATAAAGGTTGAATGAATTCTGGCATCTACGTGAATGTTCCTTTGACATGCACCAACAACCTAAACAATAAAACATAAAACCCTAAATGGGCAACAGAAGTCTTCGATGGTAGCAGCCTTCCATCCCGAGACGGAACACTACGTTCGCCTGTGATAAAATTCATTCATTAATTCAACCTTTAGTTCTACAGGTTAGTCTCGTTGAGCCACGAGGACTCATTTACAAGAGAGACCTGATTTAAACAAAGAACACAGGTGAGGTACAGACACTCATAAAAGCATATAAAATGAAAACTAACTAGAAGAAATTATATAAAAACCAAACAAAAACAGCTAGATTATAAAGCGGTGTAGAAAACTACAAACAGGAACATGTCTGCCTTGGTTTTCCAGGAACTTAGCAGATGTTTGAAATCCCTTAGAGGTCGAGAGCTTTAGATCTTTTTACAAGATATTCCAGGAAACAGGAGCGGAGGAGGAGAAGGTCCTTTTGTCTAGTTCAGTCCTCACTGAGGGAACACTGCAGGTAATGATGTCCTGAGAGCGCACGCTGTAGCTGCACTCACGCAGAGACATGTAGGAGGAGATGTATGAAGGCAGCAGACCAAGAAGTGATTTAAAGATGAAAATGTACCAGTGGGAGAGTCGGTGTGAAGTTAATGGTGACCAGTTAACCAGTGAATACAGGGTGCAGTGGTGGGTACGGTCGTTGCAGCCAGTTATGAATCGTAACGCACCGTGATGGACAGCCAACATGCTGACACCTGACAAAAACACGACAGAGGACTGAGAGCTGACTTGGCTTTCAAACTCTCAAACAAGCCTGACTTCAAGAGGCTGTCCACTCCGACACAAAGAACCCAACGGGTCAACAACCCTCATGTCTCCGATCCTAGACCGGACAGGTGGGAGGGTCTTTTGTGAGCTGGAAGGAAGCAACACAATATGAGCAGCGTGGCTTTGGTGTAATATTCTTTTGCTTTTCAAAACACACTGATCTCATTAAATTAACAGGCATTCCCAACTCTAGATGATTTAATTACAGCAACCCCATGCTGCGATGTTCTCCTGCCAACTGGCTGGAGTCAGCTTAAGCAACATGTTTATTGGTTTAAAAATGTTTTAGTATTAAATTACATTCAATGGACAGGGCTGTAGGAGATTCACCTGAGAAAAGGATGTATTTTAGGTTGTCTGTTTGTTTTAGCACTGCAGGCTAAATACTCCAAGCTAGGCCGCACGTATTAGTGGTGCAGATCAAAATGTTACAATAATAATGCTGTTTTTATCAATATTACAGGGTTGGGACTGAAATGAGCACTAAAGGAAGCAGATGGGTAGGAACGAGAATAACTGGAAGAGGGGAGGCAATCGGGGAAAAAAACCAGTAAAAACTGAAACAATCCAAAACTGATTGCAACATAATTGAGAATGTGTCGTACAACTCGTGTACTTTATGAATAATTTACAGCTCTACGTTACAACAAGAAAAACAGACAGCTCCTCGACACGGAGGAGGCTTTGATCAGAGTGAAGAAATCTGAAAGTGTGTGTGTGTGTGGGGGGGGGGGGGGATCTGGCAGGTCTTCCAAAGTTCTGCGTAACAACAGTGCATGTGCACGGTGCATGAATAAGAATGTGGTGCGTGTGTAGAAATGACAAGCAGGTTTATATGAACCATACGGCAACACGGAGGTGCTATTCTCAGGGACGGGATTGTGTGAGATCAATACCAGTGAGCGCTGAACTTGGTGCACTCGAACTGGGACTGGGTTTGTTTTTTACAGTTCCAGTTTAAACTGAGCACAGCAGCAAAACGGGGTGTTATCTGCGTAACTGAATAACAGCTCAACCCGAGGGGCAAGGTTTAGGAAAATGTTTTCTATGGCAAGAAGGAAGCTTCTGACACGCCGCTGCACATACTTTAGATTTTTCTGGATAAAACCGAAGTCGTCATTTATTAAAGTCGACTGTCGGAGGAAGAAAAAAATAAACTTTAAAGTTTCAAAATCTAAAAATGTTGCCGTTAAAGAAATAAATTTGGTTATTAATGTGATAGTTAGAAATTGTCTATTTCATCATGCTGAACAGTAATACATAACTACATTTTTAACACACCCTTAATAGTGTTTCAGTCAAATGTTGTGGATTTTCTGAGATCATAGTGGGTTCAAGAACAAGTCAGTTGTCTTTTATGCAATTTATTATACTAAATATATATATAAAAAAATAAAAAAAAGAATAATGCAACTGCTTGTTGCTCGTTCCTCTGATCACATGGATCTGGGGAAGTTATAGACAAAAACAAGGATTTTACTTCTTCTAAGGCTCCTGGTTATCCCAAGCTCCAACCCACAAGCCAATCGAATTACAGGAATCCTTGAGGGCGGGGCCTGTTTCAACCAGGAGCCAATGGCTGAAGCCCTCCCTACAGCTTTGAACCAGAAACACATTGACGGGGTCATAGGTCACGGAGCTAATTAGAATTTGCTTATTTGCAAGAAATGACAAACCCTTGGGTTCACAAGGCTCAAAAGTCCTGGATGTCTTAATAAATATAACGTTCTTACAACACAGATTACATAACAGACTATAGTAGAAAGACTTCCTTCACACCATCAATAATTGGATTATGAATTATTATTTTACTTGTAAAAACTTTAGTTTGTATTGATAAATGATTTTAAAAAAGCACTTAAAGCTTAGAGATTGTTCATCATCTGGCTGCTTTGTGATACGACGATTCTTAGTAAAAACCTTAGCAGCTAATTTGTAGATTAAAACATAAATACAAACTGAAATCTGATGTAAATGTAATTACAGTAACCCCGCATGGGTCTAATCTTAGATATCTTTGTCAAAAAAGAAACGAAAAACAATCTAAAGTTGAGATGGATGATCTAATACGCGTTAAATACACAGAAATTCAAAACACTGAGCCCATATTTATTTAACTGTATATATAATAATATCAGATATAGATTCTATAGAAAACGCATAATGAGTCCTTAAAAGCTCTAATCTGGTGTAGACAATAATGATGTAAATGTGAAATATCTTGTGAATGTCGCCACCACTTAAAAAAAAACAAGTAAATTCCAGAATACCTTGTATATTTTTAAACAAATGCATAATTAAATAACTTGATGAATAAATCAAGTGTTAATTATTTTACTGTGAAGTCCTAAACATTAAAAAAAAAAAAAAGTTGTGTTCTGTGTTTGGATATGACCCGTTACTCACACGGGGCGTAGAACATGACCAGGGCGGCCGGATGCTTCTCCAGAAAGTCGTCAAAAGACTCGTCGGTCAGGTGGAAGACCGCGGAGTCCGTTTCAGACCACGGCACCTCGGGAGTCTTTGGCTGCGGGGGCTGAGGGCTGCAGCCAACAAAAGTAGATACTTTTAGTCAAAACAGAGTAAATCCAGCTGGTTTGAAATCTGTATAAAAAGGGTATTCTTTAAAAAACTAAATTAAATGCAGCTGCAGCCGACACTCCACCCAACATGTCACAAAAACACAAACGCATGCATCAAGGCTGAAGCAGCCCCACCTCGATGACGGCACACAGCGCTGCGACGCCAAGAAAGTGCACGATGATTTAAATTTAAATTCACCCCCCCACACACACACACACACACACACACACAGAAACAGAAATGTAAAAAGACAAAATGTTTTCATTTGTCATCCCCATGTACGGCCTGAAACAAAGATTACAGCCACATGAGGCGAAAAGCATTAAAAAAAAGGATATGTGCAACTTAAAGCCTAAAAATTCCCGTGTGGTGACGTCATTAGTTTAACTTTCAGTAAGGTGCAGTCATCGTCGGACAGAAACATTCAGCTGTTATTTTACCCGTAAAGTATAAATGTGTTAAAGCTGCAATAACACAACGAGAACACAATTTAATTTTAGCTTTAATCACTGCACACCTCTCTGAAAGATCACGTGTTAGCAGAATATTTCATGAACTAGTGGACAAACAATGAAACTCTTAAAAAGTAAATCACCAAATGCACTTCTGCAACTTATAAACTACTGAAGTCAACATGACTAAACTGTCACCACAGCTAGTCCAACTGTAAACACCAAAAGAATTTTATATATATATATATCACTAATACAATGCT